CTGGGCGTTCGTGTGAGGAGGAAGGAGCCGGGACGCTTGCAGCTCTGCGGGATCGGACAAATTCCACCAGACTTGGATCTGGCATGCAGAAATAATTGTTTGGAACAAGTGGACCAACATAATGGAAAAACAAAGGCCTTTGTGCACTGGTTTCATTAAAGATCATGTCAAGGCATACTAACGACGGCTGCAAAAGCCTACCAAGCTGTGATAAGAGCCTCGTCTGTTCCTCTTGTATCTCAGACTGGGACATTGCCAGGATCTTCTCCTGGTTCTCCCTGTGGATCCTCCTGGTCTCCTCTGAGCTATTGGAACACCCAAGTCCTTCACCAGACACCAGTCTTGAACTTGACAATGAACATGGCCCTGCTAAGGAAGCATATCATGCATGAGCTGTTGTAAGGATTTCAAAGTATACTGTATTTTGTCATGTAATAGCTCAGGACTTTGATTCACTCAACTGCGGTAACAGGCAATTGTGGGGCACATTTAAACAACGGCCACTGACACTCATATTCTGATCTATGGCTAATTTAGAGCCTACAGTGAAACTAACAAGCATGTTTTTGGAGTTGTGGGAGGAAGCGTGAGTACCTGCGGAAAAAAAAAACACGCAGGCATGGGGAGAACACGACAGACAGTAGTAAAGAAAACTACTTACTGTCTCCAGTGTGATAAGTCATATCAGTTTTCATAGGCATCTGTAGAAGAAGCTTCTGCTCCGGAGGTTTGTGTTTCGGTGTATCTCGAGATGTCAAGTCTAATGGCACTTTTCCCTCTTTTAGTCTCTGAGCCGCTATCTGTTGAGCAAAGATGCTCTTCTTCCCACCCACGGCCGACAGAGGCACCTGCTTGACAAGACGAGAAGTGTGCACCAAATAGGGGTCAGACATATTTTGACTCAAGTACATCTGTATATACCTGTATATGTATAGGGAAGATGCTGTTTTAATGAATTCAAATAATTCTACTGAAAGCGAGAAAATAGAATTCAGAATCCGTTTGGCAACAGCAGCACAAAAAACTATAAAGTAAAATAGACACTTTCCATATAGATTTCATTAATTGCCCTGGAGGGATCAATGCCCATTTTCTTTATCTGAATCTTCAAATGTTAAGTGTTTATTTGTACAATTGCCGCATCAATTTTTGATAGCATTTGTCCTCATTGAGGTCTGGAGGTCGTCAGCTAATTGCATTCGTGCTAACCACTAGGCAAGTGTGCTTATTTTTTTTTTTCTAACTAGCTCTTTGATCTAGGTTACTATTTTTTATGGAGGGGCGAGGGGTAAATTATTTGAATGGAGCTCTTTAGGAGAATGGTCTTAATGTTAAAAAAGGATATGTTTCAACTTAGTTGATTATTTTTGTCTATTTTTACCTGAGTGCCGTTCGCTGAGCGATGCAATGCTTTGGGAAACGCAATGCCTGTAAATTCCGGCAGTGATATCGGAATGGAGCTGGTATCTCGTTCCTTCAAAAGAAAAACAAAAAAACAACAACAACAAAAAAGTAATAGTCAAACAGTGTCCTCCATGAGACTTCACAATATTTTTTTTTTTTAAATAGCAGTTTTAGGAAACTCAACTACATGAGACTGTTTGAATTACTTGACATCCATTTTCTGCGGGCTTTGTCTTGAATGGATTTTGTTTAAAGATAAGAAAACCTTTATTTGTCTCACAATGGAGAAATTCGCAATTTACAGCAGCTAAATTTTGAAAGGAACAAAGTAGAAAAACAAAAAGTATTTGCATGCACAAAAATAAATTTAAAAATGAACTGTACACAGTACAACATGAAATATAAAATATAAAATATACGCATATAGCATATAAATAAAGCAATGAAACGTTCATAATGTAAGTAATAAAGTCACACTTCAGTGAAAATGATAGTTTCAGGGCACTTACAACAATCTTGGACAGAACTGCACTGATGTGGGTGTCATGCATGTCCAGCCTCTCCCCCGCATCCTTGTCCTCAAAGGTGACGCGGCTGTGTTTGAAGCGGGACTTCTTAGGAGGCGCTGGTGTCAGGGATGGAAGCTGGTCCGGAAGATCTGAAAAGAAAGTATTCCATATCTACGACATAGCAGTGACTTTACTGTGGAATGAAAATGCCTGAATAAAATATCTCGCAAGTGTTATAAAGCACCATATAAATAAAGATGTATTGTATCTTATTGTATATTTCCTCAATTAGAGGTCATCAGATGCAGCGTCCGGGGTGTATTATCCACTTGAACAATTGAATGACTCCCCTCAATTAGATATGACTCTATTCTCGGTCAGAAAAAAAAGAGTGGTAACTGGATTCTAAGTCTCAGTTCACAGATGCTCTTATTTGCCCATGGACATTAACATTACCTGCTATGTTGGTGACAAAAGCAGGAGAACAAACCAAAGCACTTTCACACTCCACAGATGAATTAAGGGGTGGAGTCCACATTTAGTTTTAAACTCCAATTTCACATGACATATCCATGTTGCACTAGTTTATAAAAATCCAATTGTTTTTGTTGTTTATGCGGTTTACAATTTCAACCATCTAACCTTCTATGGTGACCACATCCCTCTGATTTTCTGGATCGTGACTGTGAAGATCCTCCTCAGGGCCTCCTCCCATCTCACCCCGCCTCTTGTCGGGTCGGCGGAGCACGGTGGCAGCAGCCGGAGCTCCAGATTTGATGAACTCTTCCTGCTCTCTCAGGAGGTCCGCCTCCGAGCCGCCTGGCTTGGGACGTTGCAGCATCCCTCTGGAGAAGGATAGAATTAAGAATCAATCTATGACTTTCCTTTATTCATATGACACTTTTCATGCAACAACATAAAATGTTTTGCAAAACAAGGAATCAAAAATGAAAAGGATACACAGTATGTGTATGACACCTGAAACCCAAATGTTTTTTACAATAATGCTAGTTAGGCGTCCTGAAAAAGATAAATGATTTGAATAAGATAATCATGTAACAAAATAATAAAAGGTGTGAAATAAGAGATGCCGCCCAAATGTTTTTTACAATAATGCTAGTTAGGCGTCCGGAAAAAGATAAATGATTTGAATAAGATAATCATGGAACAAAATAAATAAAAGGTGTGAAATAAGAGCTGCCGATAGAGCAGATAAAAACCTATGTAAAATCAAACTGGATACACCTAAAAGTAAGGACAAAGCATCAATAAATATTAGGTTTAAGGTAGAGTCAGTTCAAAGCTCGAGTAAAAATGTGGGTCTTTAAGCCGCCATTTAAAAATACCAAAGAAGAAAGTAGAAGACTGGCCATTCTTTTCATACATCCATTTCCTATACCACTTATCCCGCTTAAGGTTTCAGTTAAACTGAACATTTTCCCGTCCTCGCTGATTTTGGACAATATGTGTGGTCCACCCTGGACAGGGCACCATGCATGCACAATAATCGCTGATTTATATAGCGCTTTCACAACAACTGCAGCTGTAACAAAGCGCTTTACAAAACAGTTAACATAAAGTAAATGATAAATACAACACATAACATAAAAACACGGGAGAATGGTGCAATTTTAACCACTTTTCCCTCATACGCTTTGTTGTTTGAAGCAGTTCTAGATGTAAGAGGAGAGGTTCAAAGTGTCCTTTCACCAGTGGATCACAGACGGCATGCTCAAAATGTGTCCATGTCGGCTACAAGCTAAGTTTCAAAGTAAACAAGAAGCTGTAGTGTCCATTGACGAAAAAAAGAGATTGGTTCATTTACAGAATGTACAGAGCACATTCAACTCATATTCACATTCACATGCAGCCCTATGGATAATTTAGACTTAGATATTTTGAACTGATGTGAATTTATCCATTTGGACATCCTTAGTTCATCAATCTGACATTTTGGTTGAAGTCAACAGATGGACATATTTATTCGACACCAAATACTTGTGTCGGGGGCTCAGTTGAATGGAGCCCTTTCGAAAATGACAGTGACGCCCCTGTAAAGACGTCAGAACCAGTGTTACTCCTGCTTCTATTATTCTGTGAGTTGCATCGTGTAAAATGATGCGATGGACTGAACAAGCTACGATTCCAAATTAGCACACCAATCGTACGACGACAACGTCGCTAAATAAAGTTGTTTTGTTAACACGTGTGGTGAGGTTTACATCAGAATCATACAAAGTGAACTGAACGCTTCATTTTACTTTTTCTAACATAACAGTTTCGTGATATTGATCAAAAATAACTCGCCACACTGTAAACACTATAACGCCGTTAAAATAGAGACTTTTTTTAAATACGTTGAACGCTGCGAACTAACCTTTAGATGAGCGAAGACAGACTAGCAAAAACACGGAGGCTCATGGCAGTGACGCATGACACACTTTCAAAATAAATGCATTTTTTACAGATCGGAAGTGGCTTTTTATGACACACGTCTTATGTGTCACTAGCAAAAACACGGAGGCTCATGGCAGTGACGCAGTGACACACTTTCAAAATAAATGCACATTTTATAGATCGGAAGTGGCTTTTTATGACTGTCTTGACACGTCTTATGTGTTGTCGTTTAGAGTAGACCAATAATCATACAATTTCTGCTTGAATGTTTTGAATTTTTTTTTTGATTTTGTCTTTCTCGGCCTGTTTAAACTAGGCGTTACGGGAAAGCGTAGCGATAGCTAATTTCAAAATAAAATCTTAAAAATAATAAATGCGTGGTCATATGGGACAAGGTTTTCTTGAGCTACCAAAAGATTTGCATCTTCGACTCGTTCACATCACACACCTCGAAGACACATTTTGTCATGACCTCCTCCTTTTGTGCAGACGTGGAATCGGGGCGATTGAGGACGTCGGGTTGAATCGAGAAGCAATCCAGCAGCCCGGCTACCTCCGGTGACTTTTTCGCTGACTGCATGATGGTCAACCTTTGCTGTCTCTGCTGCGGTGAAATCCCTCAACCCCGCCCCCCTCGATCGGGACCACCGCGGGATCCCCGCCTCACAGTGCAGCTGCAGCCCACCGGTACCACCACTAACAGCAAAGTGGGTACGAAGGGGAAGCGAGCGGAGAGGGATCCTACTGCACATGGCGACAAAGCGGACTGATCGTGCACTTGCCGCCTGACATGCAAGAAGTGCAGGATGCTCTCCTCCGACCTGGACTCAACGGAAGACACCGAGGCCAGCGCTCTCAATGATGCCGAGGAAGAGGAGCAGGAGACAGACTCCCCAGCTGAGAGTAATGTGGATGAGGTCGGTGGTATGCACTCACAGATTCGCCTGCACCATCTCATGAGTTCCAAAGCCAAAAGACCGGATCACAAATTCTGCCTTTGCAATCATAGTAATGTTCGATGCTGATTTACACTCAGTACTTAATGTTGTAGTTTGCAGAGACGTGCACCTGTGTCCCACGAGCTTTTTCCAATATTTTGGTAATCGTATTAAACCAAAATATGAAGGAACTGCGACTAACTATAATTAGCAGATCAAATCAGAGCGTTGCTACATCTGCTAAGGTTGAAAGTGTGAAATTAGATGTGTACTGTATTGTTATCTGAAAGACAAGTATGATTATAAACATATCCTCAAATGACATCAGCTTCGCTCCACAGCGGGAGTCACTGCACAAATAAGTCTTCCCGTCAACATCTTCACCATCGTCAGTCATGTATAATTTATGACAATAAACAAAAATAAATTATGCTCCAAAAATTCATTGTGTCCTGAAGAGAGATGACGGGAACGGAGTTTGCATTATTTTTGTACAATACAACCGACGAGTCTTTTAATCTTTACATTCATCTGCATACACCAAGTTATTATTTATTTCCCATTAGATTTGATTCTGTTTAATATTTGCATCATTCTCTGGTCTTCATTCTTGCCTCAAAGTGTTTAATCATGGCAACTATTTGATTGATTGATTGATTGATTGATTGATTGATTTTTTTTCAGTTCCTGTACAGTTCCCGAGACAAATTCCTCATTGAATGCACACAGCAAATCATATTCAGATTCTAATTCTTGTAAACAGTCAGCCATGGCAAGATTGTGCAGTACTTAACTGTCATTATTGAACATTTCTAAGTGCAGTTTTCCAATAAAATGAAGTGTGTCTTGAGAAATGATTCGAAATCAATCTCTGAGTGTATACAAGACATGAAGTGATTTAATCACAGCAACAACAACAAAAAACATTTTTTCTCAGGTGTAATGGTTCAGTTCCCACTCAGTGGTGAGGTTAGCGCAAGTGTGAATGGGTGTCTTTCTCTGTATGTGCCCGATGATCAGTCTTGGATTAAGGTTGTGAAAGCAACATTTGAATAGAAATATACAAATAACTTTGGTAGAAGTAAAAGTCAACTCGTTGTTTATTACTTCAGTAAAAATCTTAAAGTATCTGACATTTACTGTACTTAAGTATCACGAGTAACTTGCAGATATTTGTTCAGCACAGCCGCCTGATATATCAGAGGTCGTGGGTTCAAATCTGGGCTCCGGTTTCCCTGTGTGGAGTTTGCGCATGTCCTCGCCTGTGCCAGTGCAGGTTGACTCCAGTTTCTTGCCACATTCCAAAAACTTGCATGGAAGGTCAGTTGAAGACTCTAAATTGTCTGTAAGTGTGAATGTGATGTTGAATGGGTTCCTTGTCTAGATGTGCTCTGTGATTGGCTAATGACCAGTTCAAGGTGTGCCCTGCCTCTCGCCGAAACTCAATTGACTTCGGCTCCATCACACACAGCTTTCGAGAGGTTTCGCGCTACAGAGAATGAATGGATGGATAGATAGATAAATGCACTCACTCTAAGGATTGGAAGAAAAAGTTTCTTTTTTTTAAGTGAGCATTTAGAATTTTTATCTTGTTTTTATTCATTTTAATGTCATTTTTTAAATTTACTTTACTTCTGGTTGACAGGTAACAGGCGTGTCTGCTCAAGAACAAAGTTAGCTCGCACGCGTTAGCTTGGCCATGACATGAACCACATGCCTAAACAAGTTCATGATAACAAAAAGCACACTGACATTCTCATTTGAATGCATCAGTATGAATTGATTAAAATACCCCAATATGCTTCTTCTGATTGGATGGGGGGTGTTTTTTGAATGAAAATATTTCTGTCACTCTGTGGAACCATGAAATGGCGCTCCATTCAATGTATGAAAAAAAAAAAAACATTGAAGTAAATCTGCCCATGGGCATATAAAGACAAATTTTAAATAACTAAGTATAGACACTGGTGAAAATTCTGCTTAAGTATGGATGCATTCAGATGCCGGACTTTTCCTGACATACGGTTAAACGAGCATCGAATGGATTTGAATTTCTCCTGGCAAGGAGTCGTGAATGCAGAAACAATCATCCTGTCCATCTCCTGGAGACCATGAATCTGCACGAAAAGCATTGTCAATCTATAGAGAAGTCAGCAAGTCAATTGATGGATCAGTTAAGGGTTCGCTAAAGCATTATGTGGGAATGCATCATGAATCCGTACCACGCACAAAACGTCAAATCGTTGAGTGCCTACGTGAAAACGGTCTACAGTATACTGTAACCGCATCGGCATTGATGACGTCACTGCTGCCAATGAATGGATCTGTCCTCTGTGTGGTTCATCATGACAATTGAAACCGTGTCTTTTTTTCCTCCCCATAAATCGAGTGCGGTTGAAGCAGCGCAATGACAATGACTTCGCCTAAGCCTGTGCAGTAATGGATGGCTTGTTGTCAGCAAAGAATCCTTTCGCTCCATTAAACACAAGATGACAAAACAAGATCTCCTGAAGAGTACTAGCAAGTGACTAACTAAGATGAGGACATTGACTTTTGTCATTTTGGGACCTCCAAACGATCTAGCTTGTAGATACAGTACTTGATTTTTTTTGATTGGAATACATTATGCCTGAATGTATTAATCTTTTAGCTTTTAGGAAATTGTCCTTGCTTATTGCAACAGTTTGTATTCTGTTTTTATTTACATTTTAAACAACGTCGCGGCTTCATTGGAATTGGGTTTTGTCAGTACATTAAGTTACGAGCTTGCACAAGGCACAAAGTAAACTGTGTACCAATGTTATATGAATACATTTCTGAATACATTCGGAGATGAGAGCAAGCTATTTTGTCCTTCAGCTGCATTGAAGGCACGGGAACACGACATGCTTTAGTTGAATTCCCCTGAGCTTTCTTGCCTTTGATTTACTTTGTGCTTAGCTGTGGGAAAGCTTCACGATTTACAGTGCGTGCTCATTCATTAGCTTTTGGGCTCGATCACTGCCATGATATCATTGCCCAGTTTTAGGAGGCTCATTGCTCTAAGTGGCCCTTTCCTCACCATGCTTCTGAACTTCTCTCCACAGCAGCGTCCAATCAAGCAGTCTTTGGGTGCCTGTGTATGCCGTGAAACTCACTGGCGCTGCCTGCTGCTCTCCCTGCTCATGTACAGCTGCCTGGGCGCAGTCATCTGGTGCCAACTGAGCCGCGTCACCAAGATCGGCTTTAACTCGGCCCTCACCTCCACTTTCACCGCCTCCTTCGCCACGTCTCTACAGAGGGGATCCCATCCCGGAGGCCACTCCATGATCTACCACGACAGCCCTTGCTCTGACGGATACATCTACATCCCCTTAGCCTTCCTCCTCATGCTCTACATGTTGTACATGGTGGAGTGCTGGCATTGCCGGGCCCGCAGCGAGCTCCAGTGCAAAACGGATGTGGACAGCGTGTATGAACGCGTGGCGCGCATGCGGCAGGCTCAGCCGTGTATATGGTGGAAGGCCATCAACTACCACTTTGTGCGCAGGACGCGGCAAGTCACACGCTACCGCAACGGGGACGCCTACACCACCATGCAGGTGTACAACGAGAGGGTCAACACACATGTGGCTGAGGGCGAGTTCGATTACGCCCGCTGTGGGATGAAGGATGTGTCGCGTGACCTCAGAGGGTTGGATGAACATCCGGCGACTCGCCTGCAGTTCACCAAATGTTTCAGCTTCACAGAGGCCGGCCCGGAGAACGATTACCTCAATCAGCGGGCCAGGTTCTTTTCGGAAGTCGAAGGTTTGGATGATTACATGGAGGCCAGGGAGGGGATGCAGCTGAAGAATGTGGACTTCAGGGATAACCTGATCGCCTACGTGCACCCGGATAAAATGCCCTGGTACACCTCCCAGGCGGCCTTCTGGCTGGCTGCTCTCTTCATGCTCTCCTGGCCCCTGAGAGTGCTCATCGAATATCGTACTGCATATGTGCACTACCGCATTGAGAAACTGTTTGGGATGGACTACACTTGCAGCAGTGATTCCCCTCTGGATGAAGATCGGAATGTTAATTGTGTTCTTCCCAGAGTTGACACGCTGGACAGCACGGAGTTAGAGTGGCACATCCGCTGCAATCGCCAGGTGATTCCCAGCTACTCCGAGGCCATGCTGATCAACATGAGCACGGCTGACTGCAATTCCCTGCACGACACCGAATGCACCACATCCTCCAACTGTTACCTCCTGGACAGCAGCTCAACCACTCAGAGCTACGGGGCCCTCCAAAGTCAGTCGGCGCGGGAAGGCGGGCGCGGGAGGACCAGGAGGAGAACCGTCACCAGCTCAAGCTGCTCTTCTCTCTTTTCCTGCCAGGGAGCACGCTTCCGATCCCGCCTGTCCTCGGCCACTTCCCGCTTCTCCCTGTGTCGCATGTACGGGTCGCGTCGCACGGTGGCTCTGTGGAGAAGCCGCAGCAGCAACATGACGGACCCATGCTGCATGGACGAGCAGGAGGGCCGCTCGGATTCCAGCCAGCTGGCACTCAGCGACAGTCCGCCCAATTACAGCGATGCCAGATTCTTTCCTGTGCTAATAGTACACGGACCTGATGGTTGCGGGGGCGAGGATGGCAGAGGGGGGCAGCATTGCTACATACGAAGAGGCTCATCATGTGTGGAGACATCCCTGTAAAAAAGAGACATGATTTATGTAAATACAGTACAGAACTAAAGAAACATTTTCTTTCAATAAATGGATCATTCCAAAATTTGAGGTCGGTTTTAGCAAACACAATTTTTAAACACGGACCATTTGTTTTAGAATATGTTTTCAAGAAAAACGGGTGGTAAACCATCATGTAATTTGATTCATCCAGCTCAGCAATCCAAAGTATTTCTAAATATGTCCTGAATAAATTCATCACCATTAAATAAAGCAAAACATTTTTTAAGTACAGTACTAAGTTAATTTTACTATTACTTCTTACCCTAATTACATTAAACAGGGTTGCAACTAAAAGGTTGTAAATCAATGCTCATGTTACCGTTTGTTTTGCTGAAAGGAACATGCTCGTGTTCGCTGCATTCCTAACTGGTCAAGAACAAATTTCGCTGAACGTGATAATATATGCATAATATGGCTGCAACGGTTTAATTTACACACACAATTAATGAAAACATTGAGGGTGGGTGGAATGAAAAATTGAGAAAAATAGAAGACAGGATTTAGGTCTACACGTGGGCAGGGCAATTAGTCACGTTGCTCTTTTTTTTTTCTCTGCCTCTGGATGTCTACAGAGGTTTAAGTGACAGGGTTGTGTGGCCGGAGCAGGAAAAGTAGCAGAGTGGGCAGGGCAATTAGTCACGTTGCTCTTTTTTTTTCTCTGGCTCTGGATGTCTAAAGAGGTTTAAGTGACAGGGTTGTGTGGCTGGAGCAGGAAAAGTAGCAGACTGAGAATAGGAGATACAAAGCTCAAAAGAACAGTATTTATTTTAGGGAAAAATCTGACATGGTTATGTGACAGAGACCAGGAAAATGAAACAGTGCAACATGAAATGTGTAAGAATTATAAATGTATTGAGGAAAGGGGGATGATAATTGATGGAATGAAGACGGTAGGGTTGAAAGGTAAATCAGTGAAGAATATTTTAGAATGTGACTTACTGGGATGGGGGAGAGATTCCACATTACATATTTACACGTGATTGCACTTCGGGCAAATATTTATAGTTAGGGGGTAGTGTATTAATGTATTGTGGAGAGCGGAATAGCCGACAGAGGGCGGTAATGCAAAATAATGGATGCCAACCACCGTCAAACACCAAAGAAGTAGAAGAAGGAGCTCGTATTGTAAACATCGCCATTTTTTTTATTTTGAAAGTGTTCTGACGTCACTTCCAACGCGCGGGGTTACGCTAACAGTGGAGGAGCTAAGCAAATCTACTCCCTGTCATCCACTTTCAAACACTCACTCAGGCCCGACGCTTTTACCAGTAAGCTTACAAAGGTGATTGTCGTCAGCCTTCCTGCACTACCACTTGCACATCCGTGGAATGCCGTGTTTTGGACCGTCGTGGAAATGCGACTTTCTGTCCGGTTTTCTCTGAAGTCCGACACCCAGGACGTGAGTTGCTTCGGCGGGTTGTTTTCAGCCAAGTTTCCCACTGGTGGTATGCATCGTCCCGGCCCTTGTTAGTTTCGCAGCTGGCTGTGAAAATTTTAGCCCCAATAGCCGATCAGGATGAAGTTGCAGTGCGATGTGGAGGTGGTGAATCGTATGTTACCCACCTTCGGAATGAAAAGTCGCGGCAAGGGGGCGAGAGCGGTGCTGTCCATCGGCAAGCACTTGGACAAGACCAGTCAACGCTGCAACGTCTACATGATGATCTGCACGGCCAAGGACAGAACAGGCTCTAAGTATAAGGTTTGATAACGCTCTCTTGTTCTTGATTTACACAGTACACTTGACTTGATGTATTTTGGCCAGTTATGCACCTGCTGCAATCTATTGGAAGAGCATTTAATTATTTTACATGTTTTACACTACATGTCGCGGGCATAGACATAGTAGATGAACAAAGCTACATTATTAGTAGTAAATCATCTTCAGACCATTTGAATGGAATTGAATATTTTCCCATGACACAATTTATTTTATTTAAATTGTTTAAAAGCTCAAGACTTTGATCCTCTCCTATATCATCTATAACTACTTCAAACAACAAAGTGAATGCAGGAAAAGTGATTAAGATTGCACGACCGTCTGTGTCTTATGTGTTGTGTTGTGTTATTTTGACTTCAAGAAGGCGCCGCGAAAGTGGCTGCCTTTCCAGCAGCTCCTATATTTTGTTGTTCTACTTCTTCCTTTCATAATTTTGCTGCTGTGAATTGGGAATTTCTCCATTGCGAGACTAATAAAGGTTTTCCTATCTTATTTTACCTTAAGACAGAGCACGTTTTGATTGGAGCCACCCACTTTTAAAGTGAAAAAAACTATTGAGGATTACTTTTCGGGGACACTTATTCAACTCATCATTATTTTTATAACCAGGACAATTAAAACGCCTAATTAGCTTTTGTTCTTTCGTGGGTTTTTGTAATACATAACCACAATCAATTCATATAAACTATTTTCCTACATCCTTAGATGTGAATGAAATTACCTCGCCAAAACAACCTTAATCTTGCCGAACATTATCGTAAAGGTCAGATAGCAGTTAGCATTGTGCTGAGTCATCAGTCATACATTTCTGACGTGTATGTTCAAAATGTTGACAACCCTCATGTCAGGAAGTTTATTGTGAATTATATATTAATATACTGTAACCACACAGCAAACATTCAGCAGTCTCATTTATTTTGACACCCGAGAATTATTGTCCTAATCTCATATACTGCCTTTAGGTAACCACCACAAGCTTTTTTTTTTTTTTTTTTGTAATATTGTGACACTGCAAAACTGACGCACGCAAACAAGCCTGAAAACAAAGCCGTTGCATTCTTGTCTGAACTCGCGGAGAGTGTGACATACAATTATACGCTGTCATGTTAAGAAATAGATTTTCCCACTTGTTGAACATGAGCCAATTTTGTCTTGCAGCTCAAAGACAACATTGAAAAATTCTTCACGTGGTTTGTAGAGGAGGGCAAGGCCACAGTGAGATTAAAGGAACCTGCTGTCGACATCTGTCTAAGCAAGGTAGGGGTGTTATCGATTTGTCAAAAGGCATTGTGAGGCATTTAATTTCCAGTTCATTTACTGTAGCAAGCGTCCGCTTGCCCGTTTGTCATCCAGACAAAACCTGTTTGTTTTGACGGACATGGACAGACACCACGGGAGCCTCATTGTTTCCAGTGGCTGCTGAGCCTGAATGCTGTCAGGCAACCGTGACCTTTCACCTACCTTTTTAATACTTCTGACAATAACATTCACTCTCCAAATATCCGACAGTGGGTTTCGGCGGCTCAACACAGGGTATTAGTGCTTGCAATGAAGCAACGTCAACATGATCGCACACACCTCCAACGTAAAAAAAAAAAAATTTGATAGACTAATATGAAATGTGTATGTTGTGTGTCACATGTATAGTTGGTTATTTGTCTCTCTGTGCCCTGCGATTGGCTGGGAACCAGTTCAGGGTGTGCCCTGCGTACTGGCTGAAAACAGCTGGGATAGGCTCCAGCATGCCTCGTGAGGATAAGCGGATTATAAAATGGAAGGATGCTCCCAAAACGCTCAAACTCATTTTACAACACCGCCCTTAAAATAAATAGCTTCAAAAATAAAAAACGATTTGCCTTTGGAAAATACATCAGAAGTGCGCATGCACATGCAGCCAAGAATCTCTGTCACTTCGAATAAAAACCCAGGCTAAATTTGGCTGCTCCCTAACGTAGGAAAATGTTAATCACTTGGTCCAGATATATCCTTCAACATATGTTCTTGACACCAATAACTACTTTTAGGGCGCCATCTTGTGGTATCTTAAACCATTAAAGAAACTGCACAAAAACTGTGGAGTGCTGCATAGTTCAGCGAATAAACGTAAACAGGTGAATTTGCGAACCGCAGTTGAGTCTGGGTTGCATTGACCAATTTATTCAATCTGCATGTTTTTTTTTACACTGCACTTACATTGACAGGTAACCGATACGTATCAAGTTTTTATCCACATTTGGAAGCAGCCTTATTCCAAACTGAAGCTTTTCCAATTCCATTCGTTTGTTTTTATTTCCACTGCCATCCCAGTAGTGTCACTCGAGAGGATAAAATCGGAATTGTATCACTTGAACGCTTCCGTGTATAAATCCAGCCTAAATGTGCTGTGAACAATATAAACATCGGAATCATAGGACCACTTGTCCATGTGCTTATGACATTGTGTCACTTTTCATCCTGAGTCACACACCCCTCCTTGTTTTGTTTCCTCAAAGGAAGCAGTTCAGCATATTTCCATGAAGTGAGTTCAGGTTAAATTGCATACTGTCCAAGAAATGAAATTGCTCCTCCACCAAAAAGCAATGCTGAGCCAAAACAAATTTTGGACTACAATGCTAGTTAATGCTTCATAGCACATTTATTTTCCCCACGCGAAATAATGTAGAAAGAAATAATGTGTCCAACTGTCCATCGGTCGTCGTGTGAAAATCGTATAACCAAGTGAAGCACTGGTAACAGTCAAACAGAAAATAACAGTTGGCTTAAATGCAAAACGTGCAGCCAGTTCCATTGCTGCGCCACTCACGCGTTTCACTTTTTAACGTTTGTCATTGTCACAGAAGTGAAAAAAAAACAAAAAACAAAACAAACAACAACAACAAAAAACTTTTAAACCTTTTAAAATAGAGCAAAAATTTAGCAACTATTTTTCAAGTAAGCGATTTTGCAACAGATCTTATGACTATTTGTGGTGCTATTGGAGCCACCACTGGCTAATTGAACCGTAACTAAATTGGGTAACCGTAACTAAAAGTATTACATCCACTTTGTCACAGGTGAGTTTTGAAAAATTGGCAGATAACTAAAGATTCATTCAGTTCAAGTGTTGAATTTTGAGCAAAAACCATAAATTCATTTTGGAAAAAGGCTGTAAAATGACATCGGAGCAATCGATGGGACTGCACGCTGAGCTAAGTACTTAGAACAATCACAGCCACTTTAGGGCACGACTACCGATGTCACCTGATATCAACAATCTGATGATGTGACTCGATGGTCAGGCCGACGCCAACAGCTTGAAGAACTTCCTCTCGGCGGCTCGCTTGGCGGACAGGGGGAGCGACGCCAGCAGCCTCCCACTGTCCACCCTCACGCCCGTCCGCGCCAGGGACGTGGAGCAGCCCAAGAAGAAGCTGAGCATCGTCTCCAAGAAGGACTACCCCCTCACCTCCAGCTTCCCTTACTCCCTGGAGCAGCTGCAGGTCTCCTACTGCAAGCTGTCGCGCGTCGACATGCGCATGCTGTCGCTGAAAGGTGCGTGATATATATCGAGATAGTACACCCCGAATTGAATGATAAATGATACTGAGCTTTTTGGCGAAGTTTTTGAAGTGTTTTCAGACAACGTGCTATTTTCAAACAAAACAACCGAATAGATGACCACATACCCTGCACACATGACTTCGTTTGTATTTTTCCACAAAATATATATATATTTATTGTGCAGCTCTTCGCAAACTGGACCTCAGCAACAACCACATCAAGAAGCTCCCCGCCACCATCGGCGATCTGGGCTGCCTGTCCGAGCTGGTCCTGCACAATAACCACTTGGAAGTCTTTAGCGAGGCCCTCTGTCTGTCCACGCTGCAACGGACCCTCCAGCTCCTGGACCTCAGCCAGAACCGGCTGCAGTCGCTTCCCACTCAGTTCTGCCAGCTCCGGGAACTGGTGAACCTCAAGGTGGACGACAATAAACTCGTCTTTCTACCCTTCCACTTGGGACGCCTCACCAAATTGAGGTTCCTGTCCGTGGCGCACAACCAACTGGCCGTGCTGCCCGGCGACTTCCGCAAACTGCGACTAGAGAACCTGGATTTGTTCGGAAACCCGTTCGTCCAGCCCAACCCTCTGGACCACACCATGCGGCTCACATTCCCGGTTTCTCTTCAAGAGCTGGCTTCCAGGGCTGTAGTAAACCTCAGGTTTGAACGATTTTCCCTATCAAGATTCGTAAATTGTGTCCACAATTTGGGGCTTAAAATAAAGTTCTGGGGAGGCTTTTGGGGATGACTTGATTTATCCTAATCCTTAACGCTTGCTGCACACCAAACAACGTGGCCCGGTTGTCAAGAAAGAAGCAGAGTTGCCAAAAGGAGTGGAAACAGGAGAATAAATTGAATTGAATTGAATACAACTTTATTGCCAAATGTGCTGTATGTACATACAAAGGAGACCATGTCCATTCACTGACTGCACCCGTGCATCTCAGAGACAGATTCTGCACTTTACTTTCTAGCGCACAAGTCTATAGTACATATTTGGCAGATAAAATAAGTGAGCAATTCTTCAAAACCAGAGGCTTTTTTTTGCCACTCCCAGTTGAAGTTCACTGTCAAACTACACGTAGAGCAAAAAAAAAAAAAAATTGCACCTTGTGTACTCAAAATAACCACGTCGCTTAGCCTTTATGCTTGCTAACTTAATGCTAATCGTTAAGGAAAAAGACCAAACACCATAGCCGCACTAAGGAATAGTATTAGTGTCTCTGTGTTACATCCAACATAACAATGATGATCTGTATTACAGCCAAAACATTTGACTGTTTTAAAACTAGATATGTTTGTTTTTTTTAGGTTGTTTCACTGAACAACAGAGAGAAAAATTGGGCTTATTTTTTTTTGGTGGGGCAGCAAAGTTTGAATGTCATTATCTTTGTCTTATGTTGTAATGTGTTCATAAAAAAAAAAAAAAAAAATCGTCTAATTTCAAAAGAGCTAATATCAGACGATTAAATCGGTTTGCCAGTTGGGCTTAAGTAACCTTGTAAACAAGACATATTTCAATACAAACAGGAGGCCAACAAATGTGGATAGGTAATATAACAATACTCATTGTTATATATTCTTTATTGTCTGCAAAGAACAACTAATAATGCCGAGGGTCTGCTGGGTCCTTGTATATACTTGTGTCTGTATTGTGACCTTCTATTTAATTACTGTCGACAATATTTTGACATCCTATTTTCCCCATTAAAATCCACATTACATGGGGTTTTTTTCTTTGTTTGTTTTGAGGGAGGGCTGGAGCAGATTAATGGCATTTTATTTGAGTGTGAAAACGTGTTCATATTTGACTGGCTGTTCTGTCTGTCGTCGTGACATTTTAAATCTCAGTAACGCCAGTGGCCATTAGTTAACCACTTCTGAAAACTAGTTGCCAAACCCCGCCCACACACTGCACAAAAGTTCAGTCATTTCGGCCGGGTCGCTTGGTGTGCATCAGTCCGAATAAATTCAATAGAGCAACAATTAAACCTCACAAAAACGGGCATCAAATTGCATCTCTTGACTGGTGCCAGCTGCCTCGTGCCCCACCTCATCATCTAACAAATTTTCATTTTCTTTTACCAGAGTCCCATACGGACCCCACCTCATCCCCGCGCACTTGTGTCAAGACCTGGAATTGGCCAAGATTTGCGACTGCGGGCGCTTCTGCGTGGGTTTTTACATCAAGACATGCGTGAGCATGAACCTTCATCAAGTTTCTCACACGGTGGTTCTCGTGGACGACATGGGAGGGACAGATGCTCCCGTGCAGCAGCATTTTTGCTCCCTTTCTTGCTATTCCGAGTTCTTGGACAATTCCCTCCAGAGGGGAATCAGATGAGAGGACCGTGTGGATGTGACACCTGAGTAGTTTGAGATTGCTCAAACAACTTGGAAGAAGAGTGGACACTGTTGTCGGGTCAGTATTGAGCAGTTTACCTCTGGAAATTCAACATCCACCATTTCATAGATGGCAGAAAGCTGAATTATAATGTTCCTCCTGCATTACCTGCTGACCTATTTGATCAAAATGAGGTAATAATGCAATTAAACTGTGCCATGACCTCATTTCCTCAATACTCAGAGCAGGCTAAAGGGAGTTTTTTTAATGTGCTCATGACTCACTATTTTTCTGTGTGTTAAACATTTAAATAAAAATAGCCATTTGTTGAAGGAAATTTAGTGTGCGACCTCAAAATTTTAAGTCTCCACAATCTGACCTGTGCGAATTCAACCTTGACAGTGAAGCCCAATATATCATGGAGCGGGCGGGGGGGAATACGTTCCAGACCTTGCACGCAGTAGGTAAAAGTCTGTCATATATGGAAACCATTGAAAGAAATATATTTTTGTAGTTTTACCTTGGGCTGAACGATTTTTAAAAAAAATGTATTGTCATTTTTTTCCCTCAATATTGCGATTTCATATGCGACAGTTTTTTTCAAGGTCCTTTTCCCTTGTGATTTCTTTTTAATAAACACACGCAATAAATTCCTCTTATTACAAAAAAACGTATCAGACTTATTGTATATCGATATTTTGGTTTTATAGGTTAGGCTTATGCTCAAATAAAAGCAAATGAACCATGAATTATTATGAAAGGGCAGTTTATCCACTTTGATTAGAGTTCTTAAACATCACAAGATTCTACCAAGATTTTGTCAGAGTACAGCAATGATACAAATATGCCGATTGCACTTAAAAACTGAACCTATGACATTACTGTTGAAATAAATCAAATATACATAAAAAAAAATGTCCATTTCAATTAGACTCATTGCTCAGCCCTAAAGGAGACCATTTTTAAATATAATGTTGCCCCTCCCACACTTAAAAACACCTTAAAGCACTTTTTTAAAGTACTGTACGATTAAACATTTGTTCACACCCACACAACTCATCAAACAACAGGCAGAGAGTGTTTGCTTCAAGCCGTCTATTTGTCACTCCCCGTTGAAGGTTTCTGGAAAACTGACACAGTTGATAGAAAAGGTCTACAAAGTCCTGTTCAGATGCCAGGTTTTTGTGATATAAGAAATGTAATCAACAATCGAGCAATTCTTCAGCCTCAGTCAAGTTCGTACATGAGGGAGTTCTGGAAGAGGAATCCCGCTGATGTGGTGTGATCGTTGAACACGGTCACGTTTCCATCTTGGTCAATTTCCCTCAGTGAGACAGGCGGTGGCTTCTTGTCTGGTTCGGGTTTTTGGATGAGCTCCTTTTCCGGCAGGTCCTCCTCCTTTTCCTTCATCCTCACCTCATCCTTCGTCGAGGTTGCAGTGCTTTCCTCAGGTATGTGCCTTACTTTGTCGCCTCCTCCCATGTAAGAAGCTTCTTCCGGTGTCTCACTTAGTTCTCTGGTGTTTTTCAAGCTTATTTCTGCAGTGGGGACTTCACCAGATAGTACATCCTCCTGTAGTGGATCTAGTTCCATCTAATACAAAACATATTGCTTTATGAGTATTTTTGCCATGTAGTACAGTGCAACGTCTTGTTTCTAGTACCGAGAAAGTGGTCAAATTTGTATTTACAATTGACAACATAACTGGGACAGGACTGGCGAGATGTCAGCAATCACAAAACTTTGGCCCAGTAAGCATTTATTATCGCAGCAGTTCTCAAACTTTTTAAACCAAGTACCACCTCAAAAATATTTAGATCTCCAAATACAAACACAGTGACCAAAATATACAAAATGCAGTACCTTGACAGGCCCACACCTTCATCAAAATCGAGGCAAGAGTGCATTTAATATTTTAGTTAGCCACTGTAACAGACGCACAATATGAACATGAACGAATCACGTATAGAGAGGAAAATTAAACTGGACTTAAATAATGGAAAATAATAGCACCTAACTTTTTTTACGTCAACGTTCGAAAACAAACTTTGTAAATGCAACGGAACTGTACTTAACAACTACCTGTATACAGTGCTGGATTTAACAAAGCTGACGCTTTTGTATTATTAGGCAAAGCTTGAACATTAATTTAGTGATTCTTTCACGTTCGACGACACCACAAGCGGTACCGGGACCACACTGACAGTCACTCAGTTGAAGGAATAAGTGTGTAATTCCAGCCGTATAGACTGCCACTAGGTGGCAGTAGTGTCCCGCAGGGATCTTCATTGTTCGATTTGAATCTGGCTGGAGTCTTCAAAATGTGAGCTGTGCTGTTGTGGAGCCAAGGTGTCATCAGATCTCATAGAAAAGGTAATTACAGCTCCTTAGTGGCACCACCAGCTATTGTTAGTGTAGGTGTGGTGTTTTTTAAGTGGATGCTACACCCACTGATTAATTGGGCCACTGCATCTATAGAGACTGTTGGTGGTGGAAATGCTGGACCACAATGTTCTCTTTCAGATGTCTGGAATTTGTGCTTCATTTGTTCTTCTCGTTTTGAATTGGCAATCAAAGAAATGAAAAGGTGACTGATTATTTTAGTTGTTTTTAACGAAAAATAAACAATGAGATCCATATAACAGACTACATATTTCAGTTTTAGGCTCAGATTTTTAAAAAAAGTAAAATTATGCCCCAGTTTCTGATTCTAATATTTAATTATTCAGGTTGACATGATCTGGAAATCGCTTTCAGCGCGCCGTGTAGGTGATGTACAAGGATACATTTTGGGGTTGAAAGTCTGGAGCAATTTCGCAGAAAGGTTCTTTGTGAAAATATATACAGTATATAGAAAGTCTCTGTTTAAATCAGCGCTTTTAAAAGTGTAGCACGCGTACCACTGGTGATTCAAACTCTGTATAAGAGCGTGGTTTAAACTTTTTTTTTAAATCCAGCACAGCACATTTGTGCGGGAAAACATAAATATTGAACCATTAATTCATGCAATTTTTCATGTTCCCATAAAAGGTCCGTGTTTGTTTTTAACTGTATACAGTATAATGTTGCATCAATCATCATTTACTTTTTAAGAATAAAACCTCTGCCTTCCCTTTAATGAACTCCTAATGTCACTGACTTTTAATATCAGTCATTATGTTAGTGCTTGGAAAACTGTATTCTGCTCTAAACAATACATAATTGTCCATGATATAATTTGCCTGATGGCTCATTTGATGGAATGTGGTCATGGCTGGGTTGACTGTGCCTGCTAACAATCTTTAATCAGATCGCATTACAACTTGTGACCCATTTTTCCAACTGTAAAATTCAAAGGTGACAAACCTGGCATTTTCCCCTTTTTTTTTTTGATGTTCGATTTAAAAAAAAAAAAAAATAATAATAATAATATCAGACTTTTATTTTTGATTGCTGAATGAAAATGGAAAGGACGAATGACACACAGATTGTCAGGACTCACCTTCACATCCTTCTCTTCGGTCTCTGCAGCTTCTTTCATCTTGTCGTTCCTCAATTGGGTGCTTGAATCTAAATATGCATTTTCTGGCGCCACAGAAATCGGCAGTAGTTCAACACTTTCTGTGTTTATTTGAGAGTGCATTTCCTGCGGTGCATCTTCTTTCACTCGCGTCTTATTTTTCTTTTCACTGCGGTTGGTCTGACTTTCTTGAATGCACAGTACACCCCGTTCTCCAATTTCCTGTGTGTCCTCCTCGCTTCTTTTCCCTGTCAGCTGCTCCTCTTCCCTCACAGGATACTTACTTTCATTTTCAGTGAGGTTGACCTGACTTTGTTTCATGCGAAGGCCATCCCGTTCTCCAGTTTCAAGTGTGTCCTCCTCCGCAAGATTTTCACATGTTGTCTTCTCTGTCAATTGCTCCTCCACACTACTATCTTTTTCTTGCTGATCGGCCATCTCAGGTTCCTCACTCCCGTCCTGATCTTTCTTCACCTTCTCTTCTGTTTCTGCTGTTTCTTGCATATAGGCATGTTTTACTTGAGCGCTTGAGTCTGAAAACAAGTCCACATGTGCATTTTCTACACGACAAGAAGGTTGAGTGGGGACCACGGGTGAAATCTGGAGCAGATCAACATTTGCTGGGTTTTCTTGATTGGATCCAATTGTCTGTGGCGCATTTGCTTCCCTCACTGAATCCTTTTTGTTCTTTTCATGGAGGTTAACCAAATGTTCTTGAATGTAAAGAGTTTTCTGTTCTCCATTTTCCTGTTCATTCTCTCTTCTCTTTTCGTCAACTCCTTTTTCCTCCTGTACAAGTTCTGTACCTGGTCCCTTCTCTTCCAGCTGCTCCTCCTCACCAATATCTTCTTCCAGATCCTGCATCATGGTTTCCTCACCGTCAACGCTGTCCTGGCCTTTAACCACCTCTTCTTCAAGTACTTGACTTTCTTCTGCTTGCATCTCCTGTTCCTCCGTGACACCTTCCGTCCCGTTATTACTCCAGCAAAAATCCATCACCTCATTGGAGGGAAGGACGGGCAGCGTGACCGTCAGTTGCCTTCTCTGCTTGCTGAACTTGGCTTCTCCTCTCTCCTCGTCCACTGGGTAGGACAGAGGCAGCTCCAGCCTGTAGGCGGGCGTTTCCGACTCCAGCAGCAGACTTTTCTCTTTCACTTCCAAGCTGGCGTCCGCCACTGACTTCAGCAGAGGTACGTCGATGGTGATGACAATCTCTTTGGGCCTGGGGCTCTTTCCGGAGTCTCTGGAGCATCTGAAGTCCTGCAGGTCAATGAATGATCGATATTTCATGGTGTAGCTTGGCTCAGTGGGCAGTTTGCTTTTCTCATTCTTAATTTTGAAGCTTTTAGGTTTGGGATCAGGGCTAGTTTTGGTTTTTTTTTCATCTGGGTAGGGAAAGGAAAGTGGGTGATCTTCAGGAGGTTTGGCTGTATATCCAGGGATGGGTTTACGGATTACACAAGGCTGAGGTGTGCCCTTGTACTTTGTGTTCATCTCTCTCACATTGTTTTTGTCCAGCGTCACCTTAAAGGCATCTTGGATTCCCTGAATGGCCGTGCTGATCACCATTTGCATGAATTCTGCCTTTTTGTTTGCTATGTGGAGGGTGTCAGGGTGGAATATGACATCATAGATCATGATTTTGTTCCCTTTTGGATCGGTGTCTTCCCTTCCTGGGTGAAGATTGTGAGGCAGTGACCAGCAGTGCCCTCTGCGACCATCCTCAGACACCCCCCACTTACACTCGGGCTTCCCAACTTTGTCATTCGCACAGATGTTGATGTAGCACTTCTGCTTGCTGTTCACACTGGTCCTCAGGGCCCTGAATGGCTTCGGGTGGATGAATTCAATGTTGTTTCCCCTCTCCTTCTCCAGTATAGCAATCTCCTCCTCATAGATTCTCCTATTCTCTGGATCGGCTATCTCCTGGGCATAATCATTCAGCATTTCTCTGAATTTCTCATCTTTAAACGCCTTTGTCAATCTCCTCATTTCATCTGCTGTCATGTTGAGCTCTTTCAGCTTTTCTCCGATCTCCATAGTGAAGTACGGCAATCACAGAGAACCCAGGGAAATAAAATTAAAGAGGATATAATATTACCACAACAGTGAAGGTTTTGCTCTCAGATCACCTGCAACGAGAACCCCCAGCAATAAACATGTTTGACATCAGTTCGGTAGTATTATAACCTCCACATAGCATAAATTATCGTGTTTTTTTTTTTAAATATGCTTTTCTCCAGTTTGTAAAATAGCACATGTAAACTAAAACGAATATAGTGATGTTATAGGCTTTAATAAACTATTAATTGATCTAAAGAGAGTTACGCTCGTGACGAAAATACTACAAGTTAGCTTAAATTGCATCTGTGGTATAATTTTGTGGCGTTTGAACTTACCGTACATTTTTCCCGAATTGAATGCACCCAATATGTCTTAACTCGGATTTCAGAACGCTTGCCGTTACATACTACGGGAGTGCTAACACAATAGGGGTCTAGTTTCTCTAAAAGCCCGTTCTATTCTCTAAAGTAGTCGTGCGTGTACTGTCACCATAGCAACCAATACATCGTTGATACAAGGAAGACATAACTAAAATTTAAAAAGAGAAAGAAACGTTTTTTTACGTTTGTCCAGGGTTCATATATGTGCTCATGTTATTGCCTACACAAAGAAAAATTAATATTTACATCTTATTTTTTCTTTTTTTTCGCCAAACTAATCGATTGAGTCACGTGACTTCTCATTTATACGTAAAACCATTTTTTGGTAACATTTATGACACGTTTTGACTAAGTTATAATGGAAGTGGTGAATTTAAATTGTTATTTTTTTGTTTGCTTTAGATTTTTTTTGTACAACAAGTTAGGGTAATGTTTCAGTTCGGCCACCAAGTGTCGCTATTGACCGCGCACCTGGGAACTAACCGAACTGTGAGTAAGTCGGTCAGTAAGGCAAAGGGGCGGGTGTGGAGGAAAGTGATTTGATTGGTCGCGCCCCCGACAGTTAATTTTTCTCTCTCTCTGATTGGAAGGAGGGCGCTGTTGTTGGGCGAGACCACGACCAGAAAGAAGCAAAGAGGTGTCAATGGGAGGCCAATACTGGCACACTGGATGCAAGTTGCCTTATATAAGTACTATTTTAATTACATTAAAAAAAAAAAAAAACTAATAAGGTAATCGTAACGAGGATAAGCTGTATCGAAAATGAACGGATGGCTCATTATAAGTATTACAACGTGATGCTCTGAGTAAGCACTAATGCTGTTCTGAAAGTAGTGCACCCGTCATGCGACGTTACAAATTTCTAGGAATGTTGTGGAAATGATCATTTTATAACACTGCCAGAGATTTATAGAAGCAAATGTTGATAGTGAATGACTTCCCAATTATTTTGAGAAATCATTTACATAATGAGTGTCTTTGACATAAATAATTTACATAATCAAAGTATCCATACTGTATCATAATTTGTTTTCAATAATCATATATCAAGGTAAACTTGATCACGCAAGATCTTCCCCTTTGCCACATGTGATCAAAATGAATGGGATCTAATGGTGCGCAAAAAAGAAGAGAGCACACTCGGCATTTTTTAGTCTGCCCTGACTCATTGAGCAGTCTGGCGGTCTGGTGAATAAACAAGACATGACGTCTCTGCGTGGTCTTACAAAACCAAGCTTTTATAGCACCGATAAACCAATCACTGGGCCAGAAAGGAAGCTGTCCCACATGCTCGTCAGCAGATTCGGGAGGATGCGCGTGCGAGCTTCAGACCAAAAAAGGGCGGCGAGGGTGAATGGTGTGACACGCAGGATGTGGGAAGGCACCACTCAGTGTCTTTTATGGAGGATCGCTGACTCAACTGAGAGCCCACACCTTGTTTTTCCTGGATTTGATACTGGAAAACTCATGACTAAAAGTGGAGAACAAACAACAAAGACAGAGTGAACAGTAAATGAGTCGTCTTTTTAATTACAAATATGTATTAAATAATATGAAAGGTACACATAGAGAGGTATGCAGTAATCATGAAGGTATTATCATAGTAATGATGATTACGTATGAATATTTACAATGTTTATATATCTGTATATGTACGCGTATATCAACACGTTCCTCAAACAGGACACGCAACAAAACATTCACATAGGTGTCACAACAAATAAAAAAATGCTGCGGAAGGGTGGAAAATACGAAATTCCAAGTCGTACAAAGGCTTTGGCAAAGAGTGCATCCTTTAACAAAAAGAATCCTTTTGTGTAAATGTACAAATGAGCAGTCGAGATGTAAAGGTCCAGTGCATGTTTTTTTTTTTTCTTTAATTCCCGTGAGTCAAGACGGCCCAGTATGTGGTGGGCCACTCCCTGCATTACTCAAGTGTTCCTTGCCTACTGAGAGCCGGCAGGTACCAGCATGCTTATTGTGGCCAGGCTGGGTTTGGCGGAAGGGTTCTTGCCGGTGGCCATCTTGTTCAGGTTCCGAACGTCGGCCTGCCAGGTGGGAATTTTCTTGGTGGTCATGTGGCGCCGGGCGTGTTTGGTGAGGTGATCGCTGCGCATGAATCGCCGATCGCACACGGGGCACACAAACTTCTTCTCGCCGGTGTGCGTCCGCCGGTGCCGGGAGAGCTCGTCAGAGCGGGCGAACCTTTTGTCGCAGCCGTCCCAGCTGCAGCTGAATGGCTTCTCACCTACACAAAAAAAAAAAGGGGTGGTCTTTTTAGCAAGTGTGGTACAGGGACCATAAAATCACTACTTAAGTACAGTTCAGTTGTATTTCACTTTTTAGTTCAGTACATTTTCATGTAATCTTGAAAAACTGTTTCTTTTTATAATTTATGAGCCACAAATAATGTGTCGTTGCTGATCTATCTGTGCCAGCAACATAGTGACAGGCAGGCTTACAGTGAAGCCTCGCCTATTTGCGGTTCACTAGTCACGCTTTTCATTTTTTTTTCTAGACAGTAAAACCTCATCAATCGCTAGTTCAAGGTTCTCGGTCCAGCTCTTTCACGGATTTCTTTTGTACAGTTAATAACTATTCTGGTCTATCTCCCATCTATTAGTGGAGTAATTCCACCATTGATCACTAGATGGCTGCACACCAATTACCTTTGAGACTAAATATGAAAGAACAGGAAGTTAAAAGCACTGAATGTCACCCGCTGTGATCCTGCTTTGTATACCTAAAGAAAATGACGGCTGAAGGTTCATTGTAATGTACGTCTTTGGATTTGTTTGTTTGAAAAAAAAAACCCAGTGGGGTTGGAACACTGTTACACCGTTGCTCTCTCTAAATATTTGAACTGTGTTTGTATTATTTTGTCAGTGTGTTTAAAGACTTTCTTTTAAAATTAAGTGCTGTAAATGTTATTCATAAAAACATGCTTCAGGAGTGTTTAACCGAAGTATTTCTAGATGTGGATTCACTTATTGCTGGGTGGTTTGGAACATAATCCCCACAATGGAGAGGATGGATTATTGTACTCTAGTACAATATTATTTGCTGAAAAACTCATCTACTCTCGTATTGTATGCTCTTTCTATACTATTATAAAACACCACATGAAAGCTCTGGCTAGTAGGAAAAGTGTAATTGATGTTTAGGACACCATCTTCCTGCTCATCGATAGTCTCAAAGTCACTCTCTCCCCATCCGTTCACAACCTTGGTATCATAATAGACTCCACCCTCTCGTTCCCATCCCATATCAACCTCATCACTAAAACATCCTTAATCCACCTCCGAAACATTGCACAACCCCATCCCTCCTTCTCCCACACTACAGCTCTTTGGACTTCCTCCACTCATCTCGACATAGTACAATATGTCCAGAGGTTTGCTGCCCACCTCCTCACACACAACCTCTCCAGGGAACACATCACTTCTACTCTCCAGCAGCTCCATTGGGTCCCCATCCAACATCGGAATTCCAGCCAAGAATATGAACAAATTCTGCTCCTAGCTACAAGTGCCTCCGTAACCTGGCCCCTCCTTTAACTCTCTGATTTCCTGCAATGCCTCCGCCCCCTCCACTCTGCTGACTCCACCTTCCTCTTGCCCATCACCCACACAAATTGCCGTACCTTGGGGGACCGAGCCTTCGCCACAGCTGCACCCGACCTTTGGAACGCACTCCCACAACTCACAACCACTGGTCAAATCCCTTCTCAAAACCCACCTGTTCAAATTGGCTTTTCTTTCATTTCCATTGTTTGTTGTTTTACTGTTGTCTGTTTTTTCTTTGTTTTTGAATGTCCTAAAAAGCACTATATAAGTCCAATGTATTATTATTATTATTATTATTATTATTATTATTATTATTATTATGACCTATGTGGAAATTATGCATATCTTTGTATGTCGGGGAGAAGCGAAGTTTAGCCTGGGTTGTCAGTGGACATTATGGAGCATCTATGCTGCAAATGCAGGGACATGTACTTCAGGTGCACTTCTGTGGCAGCTGCACTAAATTTCCCAAAAATGCTCACCCGTGTGTGTGCGAAGATGAGCCTTGAGATGCGAGCTCTTGAAGTACGTCTTCCTGCAGCCGGGGAAGTTGCACACATAGTTTCTCCGGCGGGAAAAGTCCATCTTTGTGGCCGAGCCGCCACCGCCGGGCCCCGTAGGCACGTAGACAGGGGCGGGGGCCAGCGGGAGCAGTTTGGTGTTGCCCAGCGTCATGACAGTCTGAGGGCCATGAGGGACCTGGGAGACCGAGGACTGGGGGAGGACCAGCATGACCGTGCCCTGAGGTACCGCTGAGCCCACGATGAGGGACTGCTGTACTGCGGCGGGGTTGGCAGAGGTAGGCTGGGGTAGAATGGGCGCGGAGGCAGTCCGGGCCCCGGCGGCGGGCGTCTGGACTGCGCTGGGGATTAAGGCTGATATTATACCTGATTGACCGCTAAAGGGGAACATCTGGCAGATGATTTGAGGACTGGTGATTGGAGGCGGGGTCAGGCTCGCTTGAACATAGGGGCTGTTTTGCGGTTGACTGTTAACAGGAATGGCGGTGGGGACATTGTCCAAAGAGGGTTTGGGAGGACCGGCCTCTGTTGTTGAGGGTGTGTCAGGAAGAGGAAGAAGAGGAGATGGAGGTATGATACTTTGCTGCTGCTGTTGTTGGCGGGCCGTCGCCTTCTCTAAATTGGGGGCCACCGGAATGTGGTATTGGCACGGGGAGCTGTCCGCTGTGTGGCGGATTACACTCGTCGCCATGGACCTGCAAGGAGGGGCGATCGAGGGCGGGCTCTTGGCCACGGAGGTGGCAGCGCATTGCGAGGGCGCGCTGCTGCTGGAAGATGAGGTCTCGGTGAAGCTGGGGCTGTGAGGTGGAGTCATACACTGTAACGAGAGCAAAGACAACAATCAGGTGGGACGTCTTTTGTGGTCGTCTCTAGTTTGAAAGAACAGACATTTTGATGACCCTGCATGCAAAAGGAGGATTTGTATAAACTCAAGCATTTGATTTGCAACCAATGTGCCATGAGAGCTCATCAGGTGTGCTTTGGGAAATCGGAATTGCTTTCAACTCAAGTGTTTGACAACCTGAATTAAGCCAATTAGTTGCACACCACAAAATTGGTGCAGGTTCATTCAAAGCAGCGTTGGGTTAATTAAGTACCTTCTATCATGTTGTGGAAGATCATGCCTGCCACTACAAGTCACTGACATAGATGATTGACCAAACATATATTTTTTTCAGTAAAAAAATTTTTTTTTTACTTTTTAGACGAACTAGGTGAAATGGGATGATTTCCCACAGCATGTTAATGAAAACTGATCTTCCCCCAAACTTTTCCAACCCAAAATTACTCAAATCTATCCAATTGCTGCACCCGCTTATCCTCCTTAGGTTGCAGGTCACAACAACCTATCATCACTAACTTTAGTCAAGACATGGTGAATACTACAATCTGATTGGCTGGATCAACTCGGCAGATATGCATTTCATACAAAATCGGTGATTGGCTGTAATATCAGAATTTGTCGATTCATCAATGATGTCATTGGTCGGCTCTGCAAAATTAGAAATGACAGCAAACACAATCTTGTTCAGCCCAGAGACGTTCAATGCTGCCATCGTTTTCTCAATAGATACAGTTGGATTTTTTTTCCAATTTTGGGAGTGAGAATTTGATTTTTTGAATTCAACATTTTGACAAAATATGAAGTGTTTAGTTGTTATCATTTTTCCCACTGAATTTTGGTTATTTGGAGGCCATTCCAGTCCCAATCCCTTGCTGCTTAGAGTCAATAAACAAGTTGGTTAAACAGACTGGCTAAATTTGTCCATCTTCTAAACGGGTCAGTGATCGTTATCTTTTCTTTTTCCTCTCAACTCGCCAATCGGCTCCAAAATCGTGATTGTGAAATAGAGCTCCTGAACTCACTCCAACTTGTTTCCTGAGCACCAATGCAGCATTCACTGTATTACATTAGACATGAATCAAAAGGCTATTTGCCCAGAAAAAAACAACCCTCGGCATTCAGGACCGTATGGTTAGTGGTGAGAATCTTACCAGAGAGGAAAGGGATACAAAGTCTTTTGAGGGCTCTGGGAGCTCGTGTGGCAGGATGGAGTCGCAGGAATCTGAGGCTGGGGTCAAGGGTCGGGGCTTGCAAGGGTTGGGCCTGTTGCCACCGACAAAGTGACCCCAGGAGCTCATGCACACCAGTGCCTCGGCGGCCTCCAGGTCCGTGTACTCCAGACCGGGAGAGCATCTACTGTTGCCACTGGGGACGGGTTGCTGAGCGATGTCATGCCTCCTCCGCTTTGCGTAGGACCCGCACTGATCGGTAGACTTGTTCTGAAGGAAAGGGCGGCATAAACGATCAATTTCTGACTCAGGTCGCATCACAGCCTGGAAATAACCGAGAGACGATGGTTTGGACTGGCTGCTCAGTCATTGTTTCCTGTATCTCAACTCGAAAATGAAGTGAGAGGGTGCAGGGCTGCTGAGTGACTACACCCTGGCCCAGCATGCACTGCCCCACATTTGGAGCCAGGACACCACCTCCCATGGCCAAATATAGACCAAAGAATGACGTGCTTCCCAGATGAGCCATGTGAAATCCCCATAAAGCAGGTTTGCCTCAGGACGCTTGCTCACACCTATTACACTTTCTGACAGTAAACAAGCCCTTTTGAAAGATTTACATGCATACAAACGTTCGTGGAAAAA